ATCTATCCTCCGTGCTTTGTAGTATGCAGTCGCACACAACACATACATATACAATCAGACGCGATAACTACGAAGCAGAACATAAAGAGGAAACCGAGAATAAGAAAACCTGTATAGCTATATTCTGTCTCATTCTCTCGCAGGCTCAATCCTATATGTTTGTCTCTTTTTCTTTTCTTATTTAGTATCGTAGCCGTTTCATCGCCGCGTCCCCAATCGCCGCTTGCTGCTCCGCTACATCACCGCGTCCCCAGTCGCTGCGTTTCATTTTTTTCAAATCACCCCCATTCTAAAGAAGTTTTCACTTCAAAAATGATATTTTACTAAGCTCGCAGAATTCACGCTTGATGGTAACCAATATTTATCCAGTTCGTGGAATCGTAATCAAAAGCACGCTCTTCTCCAAAGTTAGTAGTTTACCGAATGGAAGTGGGTAGTGAAGAAAGCATTTTGCGCGAGTGGGAGGACTCTGGATCACGCTTCCGAATTGGGACCGGCGGGAAAAATTGTGTTTTTCCCTGCCGGCAGTCTACCACATACGTCTTAAGAGTTCACAATTAAAAATTGTTTTCAATCTTTACTTTGCTATTTGTAATCTACTTAATCTATTAATTACTTAATCTATTCATAAGATTCGGTTTAGTCTTCGCATTTAAGCTAATTTTATTAACTGAGTTACATTAGCGTTTTATCTTACTTTACTATTTGTAACTTCTGTGCAATTTAACCCTCATTTAAGAATATACTGTTATTTCACAAATTTGGAAGTACGTGTACAAGAACAGAATTAAGTTCTTCATCAAAGTTAAATACTGTTAAACTATCTGCTCGACAGCCAGATCTCATCTCCAGGACTCAACGCCAGTGCAACGGAATTCGAGGAGCTTCCGAAATCCGTATAATCAACGCCAAGGAAAAACCATCTTTCAAGGATTCTTCAACACCTTAAGGCAATAGTAACATCGGGTAAATCACTATTTCTTACTTGGTTAATAGGTTCCATTCTCTTAGCCCAGATCCCAGGTAAAGTACTGGCTTTGCAGACTGACTCAAAATAGGTCACTCATTCGCTTAGCCGAGTAAACACTAGTAGTGTAACAAGACCGGAGAAAATCCTTAAAATTGTTCTTGCTCCTCGGCAACTCATTCTTGAACGTCACACATTTAACACTTTGTTAACCGGTCCCGAGTTAACTCGTGTTTCTGTGGCCGAACGTTGCTGACCGGTCACGAGTTAACTTGTGATGCGCTTTTCTTTCGCATCACGTTATTCAAAAGAAAAACGCAGCGAAAATAAATATTACAATAATAACAGATTTTTTTGTACTATTGTTATATTTTATATCATACGAAGAAGAAATATTTAAAGTCTAATAATAAGTAAAATTTATTAAAAATTACTTATATTGTTTTACTTTTCAATTTAATTACGAAGTAATAACCGGTAACATGAGATAAATTCTTAAAAAAATAGCCGGTCAATAAAGTGTTAAATTTCTGAAATAAACAATTTAGCGTAATTTATCCGTTGTCAGGTGAACTTTGATCGGATATTTATTTTTGTTAGTAAGTTAACGCAATAGTTGAGAGAGAGTTCGTACTTCTACGTGTTACTCGAACGACGTACCGATGAGAAAAAGGGGAGAACGAAGGGAAGACAAAAGGGGTCTAAGCCCTAATACAAAAGAATGTCTAATCAAGCCAGAAGGGCGCGCATACATCATTACCCTGTCGATAAGTTATAGACAGACCGCATATCGCCGTGTGCACCGGCACACCAATTACCGACAATTTTTAAACTACAACGATTTCGAGGAAATACTATCTGTATGTATATTTGATCAACTCTCATTTGACAACGGATAAACTATTCTGAGATTTATAGTTGCTTTTATTTTTTTTATAAATTGCCGTTGCTCTTTTCAGTAAAATACTTCGTATTTTTGTTGTTTTTCATTTATTTTACTCCAAACACAATAAATAGAACCACAACTTAAAGATTCACTAAAACCTTTTAGATATTCTGCAGTATTTTCTAATTCTACACATCACCCATAACATATCCAATATAAATCATATTAATAAATATTTTCTTTTTAATCTAATTAAATTTTATACAATTTTTTTTATTTGGATATTAGAATACCAAAAATTTATGGTTTTCTTGCACAAATTGGTTCAAAGTTAGATATATAATTATTTAAAGTATGTCACTTATTTTTCGCTACTTCTGTCATTTTAGGCTTACACCTGCATTATTGATATTAATCGGATTATTGCAAATAAATATAACGTAGTATGGTAAAACATCGCTGTTTTATATAACGGAACGTAACCACTAAAATTGTCAAAAATATTAGTGGAGAAATATTCTTTATATTTATAACCATTTTAGTCTACAAGATCATATACGGACCTATACTACTGCAATCTTAAAAAATCTTTTTTTAATTAATTAATAATAGATATAATATTACTTAACGATATTGATCTTTGTAATGTATGAGTTGGAGCTGGTACTTGGCGAACGATATGCAGTACTTCATCATAATAAATTTTCTGTTATTCTTATCTTCAACGTAAGGCATTCCACATTTTACTAACAATTTTGTTTATATAAAAAATCATTTTTTAGCTTTAATTATTTTAATTAATTAAAAATTATTGTATTCCAGGTACTTCAAAATAGCAGCTAGTTTGTTAGGCATATTGTTTACCTCATTGATAATTTTTTCTGGCTATACATTCAACATTTATAATTATGTATCTACGTAAATATCAATATTAATTATTATTCATATTATTGAGTTATAGGGGATATTAAAAATACTCTTTCTTATAACACAATTTTCTCTTTATTTTATATGATAAGGTAGAAGCACGTCTTTACTCAATCAGCAGTAGAAAAGGAATGAACGAATAACGAATAACGAATAAACCAAAAGAAAAATATTTCGTCGCCAAGCACTTAAGATGCAGCTGCCCCTTGGTAGGGATAAAGAAAACAAAATTAAGAAGGACCACTCATCGATAGAACAAAACACTCTGTGTCCCACACTAGATATCGGATATTATTTATATACATAAAAGTATCGATTGCATTTTGTAGATATGGTAATATAAACGCAGAATAAAGAATACTGCGTAGATTTCAACACATATATCTATCTGATCTATATTTGGCAAGCATTTGATGGGAAGTTAACCTAAAACGGATATTGTTCATAATGAGCAAAGATTTTACTAATAGCTGGGTTATTTTATAGAATGATAAAATGATTTCGTTTAACCCCTTAAGTTGCACGCTCGAATTAACTCGAGCGGTGTTGTATTACGTTGAGACAAAATTTTTCCTTAAGGGGTTAATTTGTAAATTGAGCTTCTTTGGAATTTTTTTCATGCTAGAAGATAAGAATCTGAAGCTATTGTAATTTAAACAAATCATAAAAACTTGGTTTTTTCTTTCTCTTTGATCTAAACTTATTTGCCTGTAATATTTTTTCTAGATTGATCGTGAGAATAGGTAATCAAATGTCGAATGCTTTTAGTATTCATAGCGGGTTAAAATAGAGAGACGCATTGTCAATTCTTTTGTTCAATTTAGTACTGAAGTTCGCTGTCAAAGAACTGCAGAAAAGTAAAGATAGTCTGCAGTCGAACGGGACAACACAATTGTTGACATACGCGGACGATATTGCTTTGCTAGGGGACACAAAGAGTCGTTAATTAATAACGCGAAAATATTAATAGATAATACAAAAGATCTGGGGCTACAAATAAGCGTGGAAAAAAACTAATATATGGTCACCGAGAGATTTTAGAATGTGCCTTATACTGGAACTTTGGTCATCTGAGATAAATTTTTTGAACGGATCAGCAACTTTAGGTATTTAGGATCGATCATAAACCAGACGAACGAAATTAACGAAGAACTTAAGAAAAGAATCAATTTAGGCAATGTATGCTTTTATTCCTGGCCGAGAAACCTGGTATATTAATGAAATTACTAATTAATTTTAACGCTCAACACGTATCAATCAGCGCTACGTCGGTTATTTATGTACTTTTACTTGCTTATAGAATGGGGATCCATTTTTGTCAAACTTGGTCCAGGGGCAGCATTATAAACTATGATAGCAGTTAAGTATATATAAAAATGAATAAAGAAAATAAATATTTTAGGTGTTATGTCGAACAATTAAAGCACGAATTAAAAAAACGTAGTCTCTGTACTATAGGTAAAAAAAATATTCTACAAGAACGGTATTATACATATAAATTATTATAATTAACCTTCACTATATTACATGGCATTTCAATGAATAATTAATTTATGCAATGTTATTTTAAAATTAATTTAAATAATTATTGAAAAAGATAATTATTATTTATGATTATATGAATATAGGTTTAAATATAATGTACCTTTATGAATAAAGTTGATATTTTATGATAAAAAAAATTATATTTTTCAGATATTACTATATAATGATGATTCGACACGTAATCAATAGGTCTGTTAATAGTTAAAAATGTTTTGTGCGCATGCCTCAAGTTCCGCCATGTTTTTCGGGCACTTTATACGTGAATAAGCAGTGTATATAATGTTTTTTTAAGGGGGGATATACATTTTGAAAAAAAAATCGATTTTTTTTTATTGCATTTTCTAAAAGTATATCATTTCGAAAGTATTCTGTCAAAATTTCATAAAGATGTGACCTTATTTATGGAGATATTGTAGACGAAAGAAATAATATGTAATTCTTTCTTTAATTTATCTCCTGTTTAAACGCGTTTTTCTCGAAACTATGTTTTCAAAGTCGGTGAGTAAGAAATCTCACAAACGGCTTAACCGATTGCTTTCAAATTTTAATCAGTTATTAAAAGTATAATAGAGAACAGATTGAACGATCGGTTTTTTATTTTTAATTAATACTTTTTTTTTTAAGCCGATAAATAGGCGTTTTTTTGGTGAAAAAACAGAACTTTTTTTTCAAAAGTGCGCCATTTTGTTAAAAATTAATATTTAGGAAAAGTCGATCGTTCAATCTGTTAAGACACATCTATACAAGGTATTTGCATTGATTTTGTTTATTTCAGATGATCCAGTAAAGAGATTCTTTACTCACCGCAAACCATCTTTTTTTTTTTGGACACCACGCAAATTGGTTATAACTCGGTTGTGTCTAAATATTTTTACATAAAAAAATTACTGTATTATCTTCAAACATGTATATTTTGAAGTAAAGATTATTCGTCAAAAAATATAAAGCCAGTTTGCCAAAAAAAAATCGTAAAAAAAGCGTTTTTTTCGGACCTCTAAAGGTATATCCCCCCAAGGCAGAATTCTACTTTAATTGCTCGAAAAAAATAATATTTTTGTCAATTTTTTATTAGAAAACTAAGAAAGATATTGATGTAGAGTTTGTTGTGTTTTCTAAATATTCTCTTAAATTACATTAAAAAATTTTTTTTATTTATCTTATACGCTCTATATACATTGGAAAGGCCCTTGAACAGAACGCCTAAAAATAGACTAGCCTCTGCGCTGTTGATAAAATCTTGAGTTAGGATTATCTGAAATGGAAAAATCGAATAGTTTTATGTTCACTAAGACTACAGCAACCGATGGTAGCAGATTTTTACATTTAAAAGCAAAAATAACAAAATTGCGTCAGTTGTAAAAAAATGATCAAAACATTGCATCTTTTTTTCTTATTTTTTGCAAAAAAAATAGTAAAAATAAAAATTTTCTTATAAATCTGCTACCAAAGGTTGATATACGTGTATAGATTATGTGGTAAAAATTTCAGACGAATCGAATAGCTAGTTTTGGAGATTTTATCAACAAGCGGTATAGAAACGTAAATCCCAGAAAAACGCATTTCAAGTTTTTTTAAGTAAAAAATCACGAAAAACGTTAACTTACGTTTAATCAGCGATACCTGCACCACACACTATGCCTTCTGACTGTTCCAGAAGATAATGTTCTTCAAGTCTAGCTTGTCTTTTTTTTGTTGTGCTCTCTTTGAAAGCTTCAGACGAGCGGCGATTTTCTTTGACAACGCGCTCGTTGTCTCGTTTGCTGGCATACTGAGCAGCGGCTTCGCCAATTGTAATGCCCATTACCTCCATAATTTTTAAAATTGTTTGAAAACCTTCATTAAATATGCATGCCGCAGTAAGGCATGCAATTTTGACAATTTTTTTCCATTGAAAATGTGTTTAGGTGCCATCGCCCATACCGTGGAGTGAATACTAGTTTTTACGTCTACAAAATATCATTTATTTACCGAAAATAATAAAGAGATAAGCAGAAATAAGAGATTTATAATAGTACGCAGTTGATCAAACAAACAAAGCCAGGTGGTATGAGTAGGTTCACCACGCACGTCAGATTAGCGCTCACGGGTAGATTCGAGGGACGGAAAAGTATAGTTAGGATGCTCTGATCTTTTTGAAATTTTCAGAAAGTATTCTTAAATATATTTACTTACGAATAATCGAAAAAAAAATTTGAAAAAAAAGAATCATGTGCGCAAATCATACGTGTTAGAAGTGAAACCTTCAAAAATCTACGTTTCGAGAGAATGAGACGAATGCATAGTTTCAAGAGTAAGATAATTGTAGGATTTATTTATTATAATATTATTACTATATATAATAAAGGTCACCGGTATGGTCTCTGGGTGGAATAGCTGATAAAAAGTGCACTTTTCACAATTCGAGCAATAAAAACCGAATGCTGAATGCGATAGTTATAAATAGTCACCAAAATCGTAGAATGTTTATCAAAGGAAATATAATTCGTCAGAAATTAAGTAAATATAAATAATCCTTTTTTTGAAACTCAGGTATAAAATTTTTTTTGTAGTATGGTTTTCTATTTCCCGTTTTCATCTACATTCTTGCGCTGTATAACAAACATTTTAGGATAGATGAAATAAAAACGTTACGAAAAACATATGGAAAATACTGCTGGACTGAACAAAGGTTCTGGTAAAATGCAATGAAAGATCTAATAAAGATATTCTCTAGAAATGTTTTTTCAACTCTGTAGCCTACCACACTTCCAGACCCTTATTATTTATAACATATCTCGTCCTTATTCTTTGGACCACAAACTTATCTTTCTAAATACTCTCGTCTAAATAAAGATCTGAACAACGAAAAATCTAAAAAATGCATTGAATCGTATCGCTCTCTCATCTTATCGAACTGTGTACACTACGAGTCTCAAATTTAGGCCCCGTGGTAAGCTCCACCGATTCACGCTGGGCGTTCAACATCTTAAAAATGTTTTTATTTTATTGAAAAATTAGTATAAGTTTCTTAAATATGCAAATATCACAATTTATAATATAATGTTCATATATGCATGGGTCAGTACATCTCTTTGGGTATTTTTTATAAAAACATATAAAAATCAAATTTAATAGATGTTCGGTACCAAATCACTGGTAGACGATAACTTATATTTAGTTATTTTGTCTTATATATTCAATTTCATTTGAAGAAAACCATACCATAAGTTTATGGTAGCAAATATCATAAAATACGATAGGCAGCAGGTATAAGGTACTGTTTACCTACAACATTAAGAAATTCCAAAGGGCCATAAATTCCCAAACTATCTCAATAATCAAAGAAACATATGGTGCGATAAAAACCCGTTAAATCGTGTCGGACCCTTTGAAGGTTTCTAATTCATATCTAAGCACGTACGATATCATAAAAGGAAATAACATCCTAGATCACGTTTCTCTATGCATTGTTTCTCTTTCCCAAAACATAAGATTTTCCTTCGGGAGATCCTGGTAGGTGGACCCTCCTACTATTGGTTAATCAATTGCATTCAACCCCTTCCCTTTCCAAAGGGGTGTAACTAATTCAGGTATAAATACATGTGAAATCAAGTAAGACTCACTGTTCGTAACTCATAAGTACTGTTCGTAACGCATACGTTCTGTTCTTGATACATACACTCTCTCTTCGTAATACATACTCACTTCGCTCATTATACATTTTTGTGTTATACATTTTACACATCATACATCTATACAGTCCACATGAAACAATTGTAACATAGTCGCCAAAGACTCAAGTTAATAAATCATTGTTGACTAAAGAACTGCCTTTAGTATACTACAAAACCACTCACACTGTATTAGTTTACCGTCGTGAGACGTTCCGTGCAACTCGCGTATAATTGCATCTTAAAAACGGTACGCTAGTTGAAAACGGATTCGCGTCAGCATAACATATAAATCGCGCGAACAATAGACATATTTTGTCTTTACGCATCAAATATATTTTATAAAGAAGCAAAATAAAAATATAACAGTGATTCGGATTTGAGACACCGAAGCGAGTAGACGTGTCACACGCGAGTTAGAACGCGAGTGTAAACAAATCGTGATTATAGTGAATGGTTCAGGGTATAAATTTAAAGTTCCACTGTAAAATTTAACTGCTATCTTGTAAGTGATTAAATAACGCATTCAAACTGCTTTTGCAGTTTGAAATGCAAGAACAATCCAACAACATGGCTTCTGACAACAGGGGTCAATTATATAAAACTG